TGTTTCATTTCATGTATTTTCATGTTCTATGATTGTGCTTGTGTTTGCATTGTGGTTTGAAGCAACGCATCTCGTGCTTTTGCATGTGGTCAGTGTTTGGACATGAAATGACAGGAAGAAACTGCAAAAAGCGGTTGCCCTAGTCCTAATGGCATCGCCACTCATTGCTAGCTCCATTGCTCCATATGGATGACACCAAGTGCCGCAAGGGTTGACCCATGGCCATCCATGGCTGGAGGCGATATAGCCATAGCTCAAAGTTGATGTCCACCGATTGCCGTGCTACAAAGATGACCAACTGTGTGATTTCATTGGCACAATGTGACATATTTGGCCATGCTCACCATACCTTTTGAGGCACAGGCGCCACAGGCATCCCTAGCTTTCACAACTTAGGGCATTTTCCAAGGTGCCGTGCTTCCTGTTCGAGTGGGAACCAAAGCGAAGGCCGCACCAAAGCGCGACCGAGTGGATCAAAATCTGCAGAAGGCGGGAGTGGGTGCAGCTTTGCGGAGCTGTCAGCAGCTGTCAGCAGCTGTCAGCATGATTCAAGACATTTACCCTGACATTTGAAATCTGAATATCTCACTCTAGCGTGCAGAGCCATACTGAGCATATGTATGCATATGTTATGTGTTCGTTTCCGATGTATTCATTTGTCTCGTCTCGTTATTTATACATGCATATTGATCATATTGACTGATTGCGCCTCAGGGTGTGGCAGATGATGCTGAAGAGCGTCGCTTTCTCAGTGTATCACAGTGTATGCATTCGTCGAATGCTTGTTGAATGATTACGTGTTGCATTCAATTCATGTTTTAAACGATGTTTCATTAAACTATATTAAACTAATTAAACATTAAAAACATGGATGTACGGACACCGTACAGACGACAGATACAGCTTTGACTCCCTCGAGGTGAGTCTCCGTCAGAGAATCAGGTGGACCCGGGTGGAAGTGCAAAGTGAGGGGCACAGCACCGCAGCATCGCAGCAATCGCAGCAATCGCAGCACCGGTCCAGCGACAGGAGAGCGCGAAGGAAGCACCGACAAAAGAAGAGGTGCAACAAGATTCAACAAGATTCAACGGATGTCGGATAGAGATTCAGCTGGAGACCAAGGTAGATAAGATGAAACTTTTTTTGAAGATATTTTGGAGATATTTTGGAGATTTTAAGATGATGTAGGGTAGCCTGCCATAGTGATTTCTATTGATTTCTATTGATGACAACGATGGCCTGCCATGGCGAGCTGATGCGAGCTGAGACCTGCCAGGTGATTCCGATGCGGGCCAAGGCGGCCAAGGCGGCCAAGGCGGCCAAGGTCCCCGCGAAGGTGGGTCCAGAGGCTGTAAATTAATGGTAATGAGTAATGATTGGTAATGCAAATTTGATGATAGAATGATAGATTCTGATAGATCTGATAGATGTAGAATGACATGAGAAACAGCTAAGATATGTTAAGATTAGACTTCGTGTTTTTGTGTTACTAATGCTCTCCCTTTGAAGCTTTGGGTTTCTCCTCGCTTCTTTCTCGCTTTGAAGCTGTGTGGACTTGGTATTCGCAGGATGAGTCGCAGGAAGACCAGGACGTTGAACAGGAAGACGTTGCAGATGGAGAGAAGGAGGACAAAGAGGAGGATCAGAAGGCAACGGACGGAGCCTGCAGAGTTAAGAGACACCATAGCTGCCATAGCTGCCATTAGCTGCCATAGCTATACTACCTGCAGGACGGAGGTAGGTTTCGGGATGTTTCTGGCCAGGACGAAGAATCAGACGAAGAAGAGAATGAAGAGGAAGATGACGAAGAAGATGAAGAGGACGCCCAGGAGGTTGGGGTAGATTTGTAGACGATCATGGTATATGTGTAGACGTCATTAGATGTCATTAGATGTCATGATGTTATACAATTTCCCACATTTTTGCACATGGTCCGTATTTTCCATGCATATCTATACATATACCATATCTATCATATATGTTCACATCTATCTACACATATTGCAGGATGATTGACATTTCTTTTTTCCGCGAGGCGAAGCGCAAGGCGTCCTTGGCCCAGGTGGTGTCCTTAATCCGCGAGGTCTACAAGCGGCGGAATCCCGCGAAGCTTGGGGAAGTCAAGGACCTCGTGGCCAAGTACAAGGCCCTCGGGATCCCTCGGCCGGTGATCTTGGCGACGTGCAACGAAGACGGCTCAGTCAAACTCAAAGGAGTTGAAGACTTTGAAAACCTAAACAGCCCAAGCATTTCATTACGAAATGACATTGGATGATATTTGGATAATATTGGATACGCATCGTGGAGCATACCAATAATGACCACAGTTCTGGATGTGAAGCTGAAGATATGATATGAACAGCTGCCTGAGAATCATTGAGAATCGATATCCCATTTTTGGCACTTCCCACACAGTAGGTGTTGTACATGATGTTGCCATGTTTGAGAGAGTGAGGCAGTTTAGAATCTTCTCAGTGAAGGAGCTGTGTCAATTTGTGTTCCAACCAGTTGCACATGATTGCAATGATAATCAATGATACAGTGTGTAAGATGTGTAAGCTGCAGGGGCAAGAGGAAGAGTTGTACCGCCACATTTGCAAAAAGTATGGCGAAAGGCCGAGGCTACCGGGCTACCGTTTCGATCTGGTGCAGTCAAAGTCGCAGTCGGTGCATGTCTCCACGTGAGAGATGTGGTGATGTGGACTGAAGATGCGAACCGAAGATGTGAACATTTCTTGTAAGAATTTGTCATAATTTGTCTGTTTGCATTCTACAATATTCTACATTTGTTTCAACAATTTCAACGTTCAGGCTTCCTGCTAGTGCTCGAGGGGATCGAAGCGAAGCCGCTCTCTCAAATTGACTTTCAGCCATCCTCTGAGTCTAGTGACCTCACTGTGGTGCACTCGCAACCAGTCAGGGCCGTGGTCGGAAAAGAGCCACAGGTGGGAAGTTGATCTTATGGAACTGTTCTTGTGACTCTTGTGACTTCAGCTGAGCCAGGATACATGAGTGACACATGTGATTATATGATATTATATGTGGATACTCAGAAATGATCAGTGGTGGCAGATCTCAAGTCACCTGCTGCTTGATAGGACCTCACCGTAGTAGACATGGTCGCAGCCGCCGGGAGGCGGGACAATTGGATCAGTGGGGGATGGGAAGGCAATGGAATGCATGGGATGTGTATAATAATAATAATATATAATAGTAATAATAATAAGAATAACAATAATAATAACAACAACAATAATAATAATAATAATTATTATATATATATGCATACATTTTTAAATCCCAATCCAATTCCCACATCCCCGCATAATCCACATATTTTGTCACATTTTTCAGTGAAATTTCTTGGGCCGTTTTTGCCCTGCAGATCTCCCTTGCAAGCAGTGCTTTCGCCAGGGCCGTAGCCGTTACCGCGACCGCGATCATCGCGACCATCGGGACCACCGCGACCGCGATCGGGGTCGCCGCGAGCGAGCTGATCGAGCTGATCGAGCTGATCGAGGTGATCGAGGTGATCGAGGTCGACACGAGAAGGCGCGGTCAAAATGAGAAAAATGGATGGAATTTAGGAAAAAAAATGCGCAGAAAAATGGAGGGGAGATTTCCACTTTAACAATTTTCACAGCAGACAGTATTTGAGACACTTGGTGGTTCAGACGCTATTGACAAGATAAGGGCAATAGAAGGAAATGAGCCACAATGCATTGAGTTATAGACGTTCCAGCGCCTTTTTGAATTTTTCACTTGAGGCTTTCAATGTACTGCCTTTGTTCAGAACAGCCATAACTGGTTTAACTATCCATAACTTATCCAACAAGACGTGCAAGACCCAGGATCGTCATGATCGAAAACGCCATGAGCTCCATGAACGTTGGAATCTGAGACCCTTGGAACTGCGGAAGAGCTCTGCAGCCTCTGATGGCTTAGGCCAAAAAGCTGAAAGTGTGAGCGAAGAGCCGAAAAAGTTTGGACCCAAGGGCATCTTCCAACATGTTCCTTCTTTTTTTGGTGGAGTGTATATAGTGTGTGGTATTATAGTTGTTCATACATTATGTATCCATATGTATCCTATCCATATATCTATATTCTTGTATCCACATATATATATATATATATAATATGTTGATATATGATATATATACATTGATATATCAATCTTATCCATCTAGCTTTGCCTTATCTTGTATTCGTCCTTGTCCTTGTCTTTGTCCTTGTCTTGTCTTGCTATCTATCCATCTATTCATCTATCCATCTATCCAATCTATCCAATCCATCTGTTCATCTATCCATCTACCTATCTTGTTTTATCCTATTTAATCTAATCTAGTCTCATCAAACGTACTTTAATAATCTTGAACCATCAATCTAATTTCACCACTTAAAATTTCAAACTCTTTGAAACTTTCACCCAATCTGATCTAGTTTTCAGCGACGTATAGCGACGTGCTGAGGCGGAAGATCGCCCCAAAGGCCGTGACATCGGTCCCTGCGGTCCCTGCGGTTCCAGCGGTTCCAGCGGTTCCCGTTCCCGCCTCGCCGAGCAGCGCGGCGGCGTCGATCTCGTTCCCTGGCGATGGGCCATGGCGGCCATGGGCATTGGAAATATGGAACATGGATGACATGGATGAAAGATATGAAAGATCCAAAGAGATCCAAAAAGAAGCGACTGTCAGATGCAGATAGATGCAGATAGATGCAGATAGATGCAGATAGATGCAGTTCGCACTACGTAGTCGACGTAGTTAGTGAGCAACGCCGATGCCACCCAGTCAATCTGAAGTACTCGAAGTACTTTGGTGCATGGCATGTGCACGGCATCATGGGATATCGGACATGGGTGACGCATCGCAGCACCCAGGAAGAGCGCGGTTCGAGCCAAGTCGACAGTGGCAGAGGTGGCATCCCCTGAGGTGCTGCAATCAGCCCCTGGTGGTTACTGCATTTCTTCAAAGCACCAACTCAAAGTATCACTAGAAATCACTAGAAATCACTGGAATTGTTATAATTGTTGACCGAAATGAGACATCAAGAAGCCCAGTCCATGTTGATGAAACCTTCCGACGCTACCCACTGCAGGATGCCAGTCGGGTGCCCAGTTGTGCATTTTGGGCCCAAATCCGGACTAAACCACGATTAGAATGGGTTTGAATAGATGGAGGATCTTTTGAAAAGGATGGAAATTAATGGAAATGAGGCAAAACGGCGACACCCAATTAAACTATATCAAACATGATCGAACTATTCCATACTATTCCCATTATACGAATGGTGCTTTTTTTGACGACAGTGAAGCGTGTCTCAGGTCGCAAGGGTTTCGCGAAGAAATCCTCGGCCCCTGCGCCGCCGGTGCCGGCCGCGCCAGGCCCTGCACCGACGCCGGCGCCGGCGCCGGCTGGGCCACCCAGCGGCAAAGCGCTGCAAGCGCCGCCGGGACATTTCCCCGTCCGTCCAGGCGTCGAAAGCGTCGAAAGCGTCGACGTTTCACGTGGCATGTCGAGTCAATGTTGAAAACACAACCTCGAACCGAAAGTTGGGCATGGCATTGCGTTTCCGAGTAGATAATGTAAATCGGCAAGAATCATTTCCACAGATGCTTTGTGAGTATCAACTGGCATCAACCTACTAAGCTTACCATAAGTCTTTACAAGATTCTAATGATTCTACAAGTGACTTATCAGTCTTATCAGGCAGCTGGGTCACATTAGACAGGACCACCTCCTGCTGGCCCACCTCCCCTGGCGCCGCCACCGGGTTCGTGGGCGCCCAAGGGGCCCCCACCCAAGCCGCAGCCCTTGAAACCGCAGAAAACCGGTTGGGCACCTCAGACTCATGGCGTGACAAGATGAACCGGAGATGTATGAGAAAGATTGAGAAAGTTCGCAAGCACCTGAAACTTACAAAAACTGGCAAAACACATCAAAACACCAACTTTTATCACCAGCAGCCAGCAAGTCTTGCAACGAGGTGAGAAGGCTGGCAAGGAGTGTCCGGTGCTGGATGTTGGCCCTGAAAACTCCTCATCCTACACCTCCTCCGAGTTGTCCGAGAGCGAAGAAGAAGCTTTGCCCCTTCCACCTGCTGCGAAAGCCATGGCCACACAAGTCACACAAGTCACACAAGTCACACAAGTCACAAAAGTGGCGGCCAAGAAGGCCAGGTGAAGATTCCAGCAAAATCGTTCGGACTGATCGACTTGGATGGAAACGCAACAAAACGGCCCTACAATGGCATAATGATTCTCAGCCATGTCTGACGAATTTCTTACCAATTTTCATCCATTTTACCAATTGATTTTTGCTGACTTTGGAAGGCTCCTGCTGCCAGGCCGTAAGCCCAGTAATGTGTTGCTTCGCTTCATGTTGAGATCTGCCGCTTGCCACACCTGAATCTCTGAGGGGTGCAGAGAAGTGCCAGAGCGTTAGTAGTAGCGGCGTCCCATGGTCGCAAGTGGAATTCGGATCCAGATTTCTTGTCCAGTTTGATAGAATGTTACGCCGCATATTTATTCGTGTGGGCACTGGTTTTACTTCCTCTTTAGTCCTTTGTAAATTCCTTACTGGCGGCGATGGAGTGTGATGGATGGTGTGATGTAGTGTGCAGTGCATGGGCGAAAATCAACATGAGTATGCCCCCCAAATCGGACCGTGTTGTTTTAAAAAGATTTTAAAGTCAGACAATCTGATTCAAACAGATGACCATCTGTTGTCCGTATATTAAAATCAACCAGAACCTGCGGTGACCCCACATCGATCATCAATGGTCTCAGTCGGAGATGAGCAGCTCAGAAGCTGACATCCCACCGCAGAAGACAGTGGCAGGAGCTGGTGGTCGTTTTTTCGTGGTTAGTTTCCGGAGAAACATTTTTGAACAGATACTAACCATGGTTAGTTTATTGTTGGTACCTTTTTGGGATGTTTTTGTTCCAAAACTGTCTTCTCCTGGAACAGCTCCGACAAATTCCGTGAGGAGCGCGGCTTTCGCCAACCATCTCTCCTCCCAGACTTCGTCAGGTGGGGCTCGCAGCGTTGCCCAACATTTTTTTAAAGGACAGGTGAGGGTTTTTGTCCGCATTTTCCGGTATCAATCCAATGGGGTTGGTGATTTCAGTATCACGCAGTTGCCAACTTGATCAACAAAATGGTTTACTGATGTTTACTGTACATTTCGGGGAGGTGGTTGAAATATGTTGAAATCACCAACCAGCCTAGGGATCCTAGGGCCAGCCCAATCTCCACTGAAACGTGGTTGCCAGCTGTGGCATTTTCCAATGTTTCTTTCTGACATGCAGGCGATGGCTGGCAAGAGGAACATCGTGGGGATCCCCAGCATTTAGATGTCACCATTAGAATCCATTAGATGTCTCAAATGATTTAGATGTCTGAAAACCAGAGCACAGGCATTTGCAGTCCAGCATTTTTTCAAAACTGCCAAGGACATGGCCATACTGGATCGCTATCATCAGGTACATTGGCTCAGATCCGTAAAAAATAGCTGCAAAAGGGGTCAGCTTCGGATGTCCTGAAAATTTCGGGTGACCCATGCCACGGCCCAAGGTCTTCTGTACCTGAGGGAGTCATAGACTTCGCCCAGAGCCTGGAAAAAGGGATGCACTTCTTTGTAGGCTAAGCTGTGGGTACAGCAGGAATTGCATAGATTCAATTTACTTGGAAGAGACCATATCGTCAGCCCACACTCGCCTCCTGATAAAACATTGAACAACAATGAAATCGTGGTAGATGACGTTTAAGGACCCAACGATTCTATCACTCAACGTCAGAACCAATAGTACCACATTTGTGGTCCCTGCCGTGAAGTGGTTGTTCCAACTGAGTTGAGTGAAATGAGCGCCGCAACTTGGTATCACATTACTGCCAGTTACAAGACAATTTGTGATCGGTGCATGGTTCAAGGAGAAGCCGAAGAAAGATTGACAGGAACATAGTGAACCATATCAGATACCATATCAGATCACAGTTGAACCTTCTTCACACAGTGCTTGCTAATTCGCAGTCCTCGACACAAGCCTCGAGGGCATTTCGCACAGTCATGAGAACTCATTTTGCAGATTTCCTGCCTCTTATAGAGTACTTCTACAACTTGGTCGACTGGCTTGAGCGGGCGAATGCAGTCCTGCCGAATCACGTGATGACGGGATTTACAGTTAGTTTTGCCATTTGTTGCTTGCTTTTCTTGCCAATCCTCTTGATCGTATTAAGGATGGTATGGGCGATAGCAGAAGTTGGACCCGCCCGGAAAAGCATGACCTCATTCTTTATCGTATCCTTGGGGGTGCCATTGTATCCTGTTCTGACAGCACTCCTTCTGGCTTTGCTTTGGTTGGCGATAGGGTGTGCGATGCTCATCCTATCGAGCTTTGGACCCGCAGCCCTGCTGTTTTGGTTAATGGTTCGCTTGTGGGAGTTCAAGACAGACTTCGTAGAGGCTGAGCTCGACAAAAGCGGCGACATGCAAAGAGGCAACGAGCCGGTCGAAGACATTACCTGCTGGGAGCTGGTCTGTGGATTGTTCATCGGCATCCTGAGTTGCTGCAGCTTCGGAATGTCCCTTAGCTATCTTAGCTGCCAAAACAAGTTATATATTTTGATTGGAGCCAACGAAAAGCGCAATGTGTTCCTGTTTTTTTGTGATTTTTTCATTGGCCACTTTTTATTTTAATTACGCCCACTGCGGCAAGGAATTGCCACGTCTTGAAGTTTCCCTGTTCGGAGTCCGTGCCGCATATGTTTCATCGATACATTGGGACTGTGATAGGGCTAGCACACGGCGTCGATGTTTTAAATATATTTAATTATGCCATGTATGTGGCTACCCCATTTGCATAGAAAAACCATATTTGGTCCCCAGGTTGGCGTTTGTGCTGACCATCCTGAAGTCGCCCCTGGTGATTCTTTCATTTGTCCTGCGGTTTATCTACGAGTCTCTTTGCCGTTGGCTGGTTCTCGTGCATTGCGGCTGCCGTCCGTTCTGCTCAATTTGTGCCCCACATCGCATGGTTCAGATTGAGGGCGAGGACAAAACCATCCAGGACTTGCGTTCCGAGGGATTTTCTGCTAAAGACTTGAAGGACATCGGCGTGGATATAGGTGATTTGTATGCTGCGGGCTTTTCCATTTCAGAGCTTTCAGAGGCCTTCGACGAGTGGCAGTTCCGGAGGGCAGAACTGGAAATGGATTGGTTGTGGCATTTTCATGGCGGATGCAGTTGGTGGGGCTGGTTTCCCTTAGTTTTTTTGGCATGGCTGAGCACTCTTGCGTGCCTCGTAGCGATGCTAGTGATTGCTATAGCTGTGGTGTCTTTGGCCAAGCTGATTGTGGCTGTGATTTGGCCAGCCTACATCGCTGCTGGATGGTTGCGCATTGTGGCACAAGCAAGGAGACGGCCCAGTGCTAGAAAGTGCTGTGAGCCATTGGTGCAAGGTATGAAAGCAGGCTACCAGGTCGTTTGGGCCAGTTCCATGCTGACAAACATTTGCATATCGAACCGAACCTTGTGGGCAAAATGGAAGTTGATCGAACAAACAATTCAAGAGGGTTTCGAGTTCGCAAAAGGTGACCGTGCAGACCTTTCACCAGTTCTGCAAAGCCTCTCGCTTTTTCCGCCTGTTTTGGTTGGGTTGTTCCATGATTCCTGGGACCTGTACTTGCGCACCTTGGCGCGCCGCTTAAGAGTTTCACCTGACATCGTCCAAGAAGCTTGGCGAGGCTTGGCACGCCAGATGATCTGGTTTTGTCAAGCAGCAGTCGAGGAAGACCTCATCACGGACGAGTGGGTCCAGGAGGTTCCTGGTGGGCTTTGTTCTGGCCTGCCGGCACGATGTTTTTTACAAGCGGTTGAACGATCTCCCCACCGCAAACTGGTGCTGGTTGGGGGGCTCACTATCACTGAAGACAGGGTGGCTGAACTTGGAGGCTTTGCAAAAACAGTTTGGAAGCGATTCTGTGAAGTGCAGGATGCTAGGAATGCTGCGGCTGGCGTCCTCAATCCAGACGTGCATCACTTGCTGTGTGCAAAGCTGTTGGCTGGTGGAGAGGACTCAAGCACTCTTCCCTTAAACTTGGCTGACGCAATCCAAAAGTATGAGAATCTGCCAGATGCCACCAAGGCTGCTTGCCAAAGTGTGCTAAACCCTCTAATTGCGTTCGGTCTTGCGTGCGGTAAAGAAAACCATTTCAAAGAGAAATTGAAGCTTGTAATCGAATCCTTGCCGCACTTGGATTCCGAGTCAATTCTTCAGCTTCACTTTGGAGCCCCCATTGCGCATGAGGACAGAAGATCTGAAACTCGATATGTGTTCGCAGCTCCGCTGGTAGATCTTGAAGCCCAATATGTGTTCGCAGCCCCGCGTGCAGATTTGGTTGTGTGATCCAGGTTCATTTTGTCCCTGGATGTTCTGGTCTGCGCAGCTAAGAACCCACTGTCAAAAGAGCAAAGTCTTGTGACGGATTCGGAAACAGACACTGTGTGACAGTTGAGCCCAAATTGGGCCCAGAGCAGACAAGGCGAAAACCCGTGTCGTGTTCCTCCAGGATGGTTTTCCATGAGTTGAGGCCCCAAACTTCAGATCCTCTGGAAGAAGTCCTGCTTCTGTATCAAGCATGTGGTTTAGCAGTTTTGCCGAGAAAGAAGTCACACCCCTGGTTGGAGTGGCTTTTCAAATTTTGGAAAGTCTCGGGGTTTCTATGCGTTTGTGTCCCCACATTCTATCCGACTATCCAGCACTCAGGATTGACTGCGATCCCAGATCCCCATTATTCTTGTGCTCACACGCCCTCGCCACCACATCTGTTTTTTTTGGGTGCTGGCCATGGTTTCACAGCCAAATTTGCTGCAGCAAAGGGTTTAAAACTGCACAGCTTCCAAAATTTCCCCGTTTGGGCTAGATGCATTGCATGAACAAATTAACTATGAAGAACTGAAGAACATGATTTTCAGACAAATTTAGAAAGATTACGCTTTCGGAATTCCAACGCGCACATGCGGCATATGCGTCGCCCCCCAGCCGTTTGCAGCGGAGATCGCTCTGAATGACTCGGCATGCAGACGACCATTGACTTGGTATGGCAGTCCGTAAGCCTTCATCCGGAAAGGCCAGCATTGAGATACCTCACAGCTGAACGCACTGTGGGTTGGCTCAGCTACAAACAGGCCAGCTGGGCCAGCTGCATCCTGTGGAGTTTCCAAGGAGCAAAAAACATCTAACGCTTGGTACAGGTAATTTGGGAAACGGCCTTGGGGGTGAAATGTGAAGCAATGTAAAATCAAATATGGATAAATATGGTATGATTGTGCCCTCTAACACGGTCATGAACAGTGGCACAAGAACATATGCTAACTGTCAACACATGTGTATATACTATGTACACACACATATATATATATATATATACATACTATATATCCACCTTCAAATTTCAGCTACGAAATGGGGAGGACTTGGGCTACAGTACAGATTGCCAGCCAGGTTTTTTTTGTACAAACAGGAGGGGTTGTGCCCCCCATTTTGTATTTGGAATCATTTTGTAGTTGATTCCTTGCAAATCATCATTTTCATTTTGTAGTTGTATATGTTGAGTTAGTTGAAGCATGCAACATAAATTCACGGGGTCAACACTTGATCCAACTAAATTCAATCATTGACAACTACAAAATGTTCTCCGAATTTATGTTGGTCGGAACTTTGGATGGCAAAGACCCAACTACAAAATGCCGTTGGGAAAAATCACGTTAGCAATTCCGACGTTCAGCTATTTTTTAACTTCAGATGCATTGGATTTTGTAGTACTGGTTTTGAATTATTTTCCGAGCCAGAAAGAGTTATGTTCTTCATTTTGTAGCTGCAAAAAAAGTGTAACATGCACTGCATTTTGTAGTTGTGCACCCTATGCATTCCGCTTTGTATCTACCAAAACCATCTGCACAATTCCTCCCCCCTTATCTGAACCCTGATTACTATATAACATACATGTCATGTATGGTAACCATCCTGTTCATGTAGGGGCCTTGCGGGTATCATATGAAAACCAATCGAAATTTCCCTCCCAGGTGTGGCATTTGGCGGGTCACGTGGCTCAACGCTTGAGTGGTTCCGTGCTGGCTGTGGCCATCGATGACGGGCCCTACTTGGCCCTGGCGGAGTTGGCGGCATGGCGCAGGAGCTTTGGGGAATGTCCTTTGCATCAATCCACATAGATCCTGACATAGATGTACACAACAGCAAACACATATGTTATTTATATGTATATATATATATAAAATCATATAATCACATAATCACATACATACATACATACATACATACATACATACATACATACATACATACATACATACATACATACATACATACATACATACATACATACATACATACATACATACATACATACATACATACATACATACATACATACATACACATACATACACATACATACATACATACATACACATACATACACATACATACATACATACATACATACATACATACATACATACATACATACATACATACATACATACATACATACATACATACATACATACATACATATACATACATACATCCATACACAACATATACCACACATACATACATACATACATACATACATACATACATACATACATACATACATACATACATACATACATACATACATACATACATACATACATACATACATATATATATGTGTTTATTTATAAATTTTAAAAACAAATATTGATGAAAAACATATATTATATGGCTCCCTTTGCACGTCACTGCTGGCATGGCAACTCAAACGCCCAACAACTTGATAAGAGTAAAACACCAAAATGGATTGGCAACAGGAGGGCGTGGTGAAAGATCTGTGACAAAATGCAATTCTCCGCCAATTCTTGTTTTTGGAGATTTATGATTCCTCCGGTTTCCTCCCAGAGACACAAACTTCAGTGCTTTCTCCCGACAAAGATGGAATGAAGAGAATGGACCCAAGAATCAAAACTCGAGAAATCAAAAACAACACCAATCCAACATATACCAAAATCCCTTTGTTGTTTCATTTTTGTTTGATGAGGTTTGATGAGGTTTGATGAGGTTTGATGAGGTTTGCCGGTTTGCTGTGCAGGGGAATGATCCTTGTACCTTTGGATCCACACGATCCCCTGGTGCGGCTGCGGCACGTGTTGTCTGAAGCCCAGGCTTCATGTTGTGTTACCAAAGACTGGGGCGATGCCAAGATGCTTGGGACTTGTTTTGATTTTGATGGATTTTATTGGTTTGTTTAAGCCTAAGCTTCTGGGAAAGATTTGGGCCATGGAATCATGAGTGAAAATAATCATTGGAAAATCCACAAGTTTTTTTTCCACATGGATTGTTCCCACGAATTTTTCCCCACCAACCCCACTGATTCCCAGCGCTTGAGGAAGCTGTTGGAAGCCTTGGAAGCTCCGGTCTCTGGCTATGGCTATGCATCCAATGCCATTGAGGTCATCGATCTGAACCTGGCCTTTCCTCTGACAGATCTGACAGAGGAACTGGAACTGAGCCAGCTGCAACCACTGCAACCACTACCAGACTCCGTGGCATACATGTGTCTTGGTGGATGTGTTGCAGTTTCTCAAATGGCGAATAGGTTAGCAAACTATGCGCCGCAACTGTTGAGATTCAATGAGATTCACAGATTGGTTTGTGCTTGGATTCTTGGAAGAATAGCCAGAAGTTGAAACGATATGAGACCATGATAGACCCATAGCCATAGACTGCCATAGACTGCCATAGACCATCTGAACCATCCAAGTTTTGTACCTCCCAATTGACCGTAGCGCCGTGGCGCAGCTCATATCCAGCATCCAGATGCATCCAGATGCATCCAGGTGGTTCACTAGCGGCTCAACGGGGCAACCGAAAGGTGTCCTGGTCTCGCATCGGGCTTTCTGGAACTGGCCACATGTCGAAGAATTGGAGCCCAATTACATGCTCATCATGCTGCCACAATGAGTTTTTGATCTTGCTATGTCCCTTACCCCCAAAAGGTTGAGTAAGTGAAGTCTTGTACATGTTTAAACATCTCATTCTATTCTATCGAAATAAATAAATAAATAAATATATATATAATTAATGTTATTTCGTAAGTTTCAGAATTTTTGGGCGCACCCCAAGCATATGTCATCCTTTGGAGTGGCTCAGGTGCATGGTGAAAAATGCGCCTCAAGGCATCACTCCCGAGAGCGTGGTGCTGATTGCATCAGCCTCAACCTTCGATCCCTCCATTGGCACCTTGACTGGATGGGCTCTCACGGTGTCTGTGCAATTTCTGTGCATTTTGGGAAGCTGACGACGGGAAACATGGGAAGATGACTTGACATTATTTCGGAAGCTCGGTTCATGTTCAACGCAGCTGGTGTCAACAGCAGATAGCACCAGTGATAGATGCCCTTGATGGATTTAAGGATTTTGACAGATTCGATGATTGCTGACCCGTTAGGTGATATTTTTGCTACCTGGGCAGTGGGCGCTGCAGTGGCCGTGGCCCCACGCATGTTGTTTTTCGCCAATCTGGGCTGGGCCATCCAACGCTTGGGGGTGACGCATCTCACCTGCACGCCGTCCTTGTGGCAATCCCTGGAGCACCTTGGTATCCCATCTTTCCGGCATCACGAATCTTTATCATTCTCTCTTCAGCATCTTCAGCAACACTAAAAAACATGTTACTTTCCACATGTCACCACCAAATCAGACCACCAAATGATACCAAAGTCATCCAAAGTCATAGAATATCAGCATATAGCAGCATTATCAGCCACCTCCAGGTAGTTTGTTTGGTGACTTTTTCACCCCAGGGACCTGGAGCTACCAAACCTCACAGTCTGCCTGGGTGGAGAACGGTCGCCACAGCCTTTGCTGGACCTATGGGCGTCCAAGTTGACCCTGCTGAACACCTACGGCACCACGGAGTGTCACTCAGCAATCAAGATCTCAGGTCGTGTTGAACTCACGGATTACTCACAGTTTAGATATGTGCAGACCTGTGTAGATGATTCTATGAAATATAATATATACATATATATATATTATTTAGATGATTTAGATGATTAGTGTTTGGATATGTTTGGATAGTACCGTAAGATGTAGTAAGCCTTAGCCGCCTTAGCCAATCCAATGACACTTTTGTGCCACTCCTGAAGCCATGCCTGGGCCATAGACGTCACAGTGACCGAACTTCGATGTCCTAAGGCACAGTGTGGCAGACTTTGCGGCGAATGAAGCCGGGAGACAAGGCTACTTTGGTGGGCTGCCCCTATCAGGGCAATGAGATCCAAATCCTTGAGCCGTGGCAATGTGGCAAGCAGGTTGTTTTATCCCGATGTGGCGAAGATTCTGGAGCTTAAAATATTTTAAACTGCTGGTAGCAGGCAGTCAGTATACGGTATATGGCATCATATGGCAGAGAAACGGCCCACTTATGGCCCACATCGCTGCAAGTTTTCAGGAACGCGACGGCATGAAGGTGATGGACGCTGGTGAAGTGGGAGAGATTGTGCAGGGCGGCGTGCAGGTTGGGATTGGCAACTTGTCCAGAAGCTCATCAATTCACCTGACCTACAGCAATCTAACCTAGAGATGCAAAATCCACTGTTTGCGGATACTTTCCTAGGGAAGGAAGCCATAGATTCCCGTAGCTATGGTAATTTAGTTTAATGTTAATTTAATGATATTTTTCTGGAAGGTAGTTTTGCAGATCCAATATTCATGTTGGATGGTGTTGGATCCATCTATACACCCACCCTTTTCCTCACAAGATCCACAGTGGACAACTGATCAATATTCGTATTCTCAAAGTCTCAAAGGGATGTGGGACTATACATGCCAGGCTCCATCAGGCTCCTAAATTTCTAGTTCCATTCTAATCCATTCTAAAATATATTAGAATATCCATGAATATCCTAATTCTTCATGGTTCATCTCGGGCTTTTCTTGGTGTCCATGAGATTCCTTGAGGCTACCACAATCGACCGCAACTTACCGCTGAGAAGTTCATCGAGATCCCTGGCCGGGGGCGCTGGTACCGTACTGGTGATGGTGGGGTGCTTCATGGGAACGAGTTGGAAGTGGTGGGCCGATTTGACAGCCAGGTGCTCTGGGAATCTCTGGGAATCTCTGGGATTGATGGGGTTGGGGGAAACCATGGGAAACCAAACGACACGTGGCAAGCTTGGTTCAAAAGAATTGCCTTTCACTGCATTATTTTCCAATTTGTTTATGTTTGCTTTGTGCTTTCATATGGGTTTATGATTTGGCTTATTTCGCCAAACACATCAGGTGAAGATTCGAGGTATGCGAGTGGAGCTGGGAGAAATTGAATCCGGTGTAGTGAAGGCAGCTGCCGGGCTGCTCAGCAATTGTGCAGTGAAACTACGTGATGGTGGCTTCCTGGTGGCTTACTGCCAGGCCGGGTGTAAAGTTTGACAGTGACAATCAATGACGACCGACATCCAAATGATGTGTGTTGATGCGTGTTGAGAGAGCTTAATTTGGACATCAATGTGCAAAGCATACGGATCACTTGATTCAGATCATGCTACCCACATCTACCGTTTCTGTGTCAGGTTTCCACCGCTGCTGCCGTCATGATGCACGAGTCCTATTGCAACCTGCCTGAAATCTCCAGTGGTTTGGTCTTGGTCACTTGTGGATCTGGTGGTCCGTCCCAGCTGAGGCATTCTGCCCGTCATGAGTGACTTCCTGCTGCAACGGTCTAGCAAAGAACTGCCTCGACACATGTTGCCCAGCAAGTTCATCCTGATGCAACGACTTCCTTTGACACCTAATGGGTAGCTTCGGCTAGATGGGGCGGAAGTGAAGTATAAGTATAATTAGAGCAGTTTAATGAGATGCAAGAAACACTTCAGAACCATCATCTCAGTTCCAATACATTTCAAAGCTTGCACCTCATGGCCTCCAAAAAGTGATAGAACATGGACAACTCTCTTGAAACCGACCATTTCTATCCATTTCTATCCATTTTCTCATCATTTCTCCAGTCTGTTTAGACCACCAGGGAGTTCTTGTGTCGGCGAAGGAAGGTGGACGGCAAGGCGTTGCCGGAAGCGGTGGATGCTTCCAGTTGTGCCTCCACATCCCTGACGTCCTTGGAGCGAGTGGTCGCCACCGTCTGGGAGGACACGGTGGGTTGAAACGGTTGAAACGGTTGAAACGGTAAGCAGATGATGCCATCAACCTACATCAACCTACATCAACCTGGTTCATTCGTTGATGTTTTCTCTCTTGTTTTGGGTGATTTTTGGGTATGGGATTAGCCAAGTATAATCCAAAAAGCAGCATTTTGGGCAGGAGGTCCTGGGCCGGAAGAACCAATCTATCTCGCCCAACGACCACTTCCTGGCACTGGGGGGGCATTCCATGTCTGTCCTGCAGGCAAGGCTTTTTGCGGCGAGATTTTCTGCAGCTCACGGGGGATACGGGGGCTTCAGATTGCCTGCTTCGTGTGGGGAGATACAGTAACATATTCTAACATTTTTGACAATGTCATGTTTTGCGACTCAAACAGCTCAAACATCCTTAGGTGAGTGAGATCTCCATGTATACTGTAAGTGAGATGACAATAGACTGCCATATATGTATATTTATATATATATATTATATACATAGATATAGATGATGTGGTTATATATGTGGTTTATGTTTTTCTTCCAACGCTGACTAAGCCGATTTGGATGGTTTGCAGGTCTCCCGGCGGCTACTGAAACTGGCGGCTGCAGCTGGGCAAGATGCGGCTGGGCCTTGATATCGGTAATGAGTTATGAGGATTTCTGAGGCGTGATTGACTGGCCTTTCAGTTTCACATGTAAGAACATATAAGAACACACATATATACACACATTATATGTATATATACATTATAATATATATATACACATTTAAATATATACATATATATATATATACATTATAATATAAATATATACATTATGTATCTATATATATGGTACCCCCCCCCAAGACCTACCAATTTCACAAAAGTACTGGTATTTACAGTAAAATTTGCTATTTTTGGTATGTAATTTTGGATTCCGGGATTTGGGGGATGTTATATAGTGTATATATATATATATACATATATATATATATACATAGAGGATTCAAGCCTTGAATCCAACTCTTGTGGGAATCTTGGATCTTGGATCTTGAATCTTGCAAAGAATGCATTCAGAATGCATTCTTTCGGCAGGATTCAAGATTCAAGATTCAAGATTTCTGAGGACTCTTTGGAGCAAATCTTGAATCCACCCCCTGGATTCAAGATTCAAGATTTCTGGGGACTCTTTGGGGCAAATCTTGAATCCGGATTCAAGATTCAAGATTCAAGATTTCTGGGGACTCTTTGGGGCAAATCTTGAATCCGGATTCAAGATTCAAGATTCAAGATTCAAGATGGGGACTCTTTGGGGCAAATCTTGAATCCAGGATTCAAGATTCAAGATTCAAGATTTCTGGGGACTCTTTGGGGCAAATCTTGAATCCAGGATTCAAGATTCAAGATTCAAGATTTCTGGGGACTCTTTGGGGCAAATCTTGAATCCGGATTCAAGATTCAAGATTCCTGAGGACTCTTTCCAGCAAATCTTGAATCCAGGATTCAAGATTCAAGATTCAAGATTTCTGGGGACTCTTTGGGGCAAATCTTGAATCCGGATTCAAGATTCAAGATTCAAGATTTCTGGGGACTCTTTGGGGCAAATCTTGAATCTTGAATCTTGAATCCTGGATTCAAGATTTGCTGGAAAGAGTCCTCAGGAATCTTGAATCTTGAATCCTGGATTCAAGATTTGCCCCAAAGAGTCCCCAGAAATCTTGAATCTTGAATCCTGGATTCAAGATTTGCTGGAAAGAGTCCTCAGGAATCTTGAATCTTGAATCTTGAATCTGGATTCAAGATTTGCCCCAAAGAGTCCCCAGAAATCTTGAATCTTGAATCTTGAATCCTGGATTCAAGATTTGCTGGAAAGAGTCCTCAGGAATCTTGAATCTTGAATCTTGAATCCAGGGGGTGGATTCAAGATTTGCTCCAAAGAGTCCCTAGAAATCTTGAATCTTGAATCTTGAATCCTGCCGAAAGAATGCATTCTGAATGCATTCTTTGCAAGATTCAAAATCCAAGATCCAAGTTTCCCACAAGACTTTTGATCAAAATCTTGGATTTCTAAAGAAGTTTCATAGGGACTAGTAAGAGTATTCTGGCAAATTCCAAACCCAAGATTTGCACAAGACTTCTCCGCAATTCTTAGATCTTGGATCTTAGATCTTGGGAAGAATGCATGATCAAAATCTTGGATTCCTAAAGAATTTTCATAGGGATTGGTAAGAGTATTCTGGCAAATTCCAAACCCAAGATTTGCACAAGACTTCTCCGCAATTCTTAGATCTTGGATCTTAGATATTGGGAAGAATGCATTCTGTATGCATTCCTTTAGGCTGGAAAAGACATAAATACAATTCCTGCCATCCATTGTCACTGCTCCATTCTTGCAATCCATTGTCACTGCCCCAGTGCCATTCTTGTTCTCAGCTTTCATCGCTTCCCCTCTTATTTGCCATGGCGTTCTTCAACGTGACCGGCACGGTGAATATGTCGCAAGGCAAGGCCATCATGACATTGACACCAGAGCCTGACATCAAAGTGACCATGACTCGACCGTCAACATCTCAGCTCCTGGAAAAAATCGGAGCAGGAACAGTCAAGGTTCATGACAGCCGCCATCCAGTTGCAAAGAGAGACCTGACGACTATGATGGGCACGATTCAAAGGCAACTGCGCCTGCGTCCGGGAGGTGATGGTGAATGGAGTGCAGATGCCCAGCAGCGCTTAGAAAACTTACTGGCCAATCCGAAAAGGAGCACTGCAACTGTGCAATTGGCCTTGGAAGATGTGAAGCCATCATCCTCCAGTTCCACTTTGGAAGAGAAGAAGCCAGCATCCTCGTCTTCCACATCCGATTCCGATTCGGATTCATCATCTTCCGAAGGTCCACAACATCAGGCAGATGCTGAACTCGAGAAGAAAAGCAAGGAAGTGATCAAATGGAAAGAGGAGTTTGAGGGGATTTTCTCGGCATTGCATCACACCTCTTGCGAGCTTGCGAAGGCAACCGCTCAGATTGAGGAGCAGAATGAGATCATCGCAGGGCTGTCTCAGGAAAATGCCGCTTTGCGGCGCCGGCTACAGCCGGAAAACGCCGCGGATATCCCTATGGATATGGATGAATCTTTGGCTGCTGAAGCTTCGTCTCCTGACTCTTCTGATCATGAAATGGCATCCGATTGATGTCGCTGAGACAAGGGCATGCGGGTTGAAAAAGATGTATCTCTCATTGTGTCCGCTTGATGCACACTGAAAAGAAAAGCAGTCTGGCGCTAGAGCCTTGAGCCTTAGCATTATATGTATACATACTTAGAGATATGTCCTTGGCATGCACGTGTGGCAGCGAAAGTACTTGGGAAGGTCTGATTGTTTTGAACATGCTGGCAGTTGACATTCAACATTCAATTCATGTGTGGATTCTTGTCACTCTCGTATTTCTTCTCTGCTGTGTCACATGAGCCCAAACCTGTCCGCCCCAGTCTTGTCTTGTGCACCGCGCCGTGCTCCCCTTTGATTGCAATGGCTGGAACATTGATGGATAAGGCAATCCAAGCATTGGGAAAGAAACCGTTATATCTACGACCCTTGGAAGAAGCCAAATGTGGGATTGTCGAAGTGGAAGAGCCTATCACATGCATTGGATTCACCACTGATGCGTGCAGACCTTTGCAAAAGGGTGTGAAATCCATTACAGTTCTCTTTGATTTCCACAATGACATACCCTCATGTGGCGAACCAGTCGACATTGGCCAGATCGCTATGCAATATCGATGGGATGATTTACCTGAACCCATCCGTTTCAAAGGCACTCCTCCGAGTACAACCAAAATGGACTTCGTGCATGTGACCATGGCGAATGGAAACGTAGATGTTCTCAAAGTGCTCTATCTGCCACGTCCGATGTCCTTTCAAGCTGCCGAAGCTTTGTGCAGTGGGAAAGCTTATGTTCCAGTCTTCAGATCGGGGCCCTGGAACATCAAAAAGGGAGTGCAGTGGCTTCTCAATCATTTGGGAGGGTATCAACTTAGATGGTTTGCCCTTGAAGAGAAGACCCAGGCGGAGCATTCCTCAAAACCTACCTGGTCACCATCAAGGTCTGAGCTGGAAGAAGGCATCTACCATATCAATGCATTTGCCCCAGAATGTGACGCTCTCAACGAGCAAACACTGTGGATCCTGCTCAACATCAAGCCTGACTCAAGCACACCTATTGCAGGATGGCCGGAGGCCAAGGTACGGCAAATGTGCCAAAACAAAAGCAAGGGGCTTGGAGGTGCTGTGAGTATGACCGAGTTTCCCCTCACAACCTATAGCCTGAAGCCATTCTTGCACACTATCTTGCTACCATACTTGTATCCACTGCTCATCAACTTTGGCCTCTTGCTGCTGGGTTGTCCTGGTGTGGGGAAAACGCCCTTTGTGATCACTCTGGCAATGGCGCTTGGTCGTTACCACGTTCGTCGATCTGGATGTGAAGGCCTGAAGGCTGGTTGGCGCCGAGCCAAATCCCTGGACAACTTCAGGCACAAAGCCCCTCAGGTTCAAGAGGCTCTCTTTCTAGACGAGCCCGATCGAAGCAAGGTGTGCATAGCCGACCTGAAGAGTTTCCTTACATGTGATGAGGATGGAACGGTTGAGTCCAGGTACAACGATACCAAGATGTTACGGAATCAAATGAGGGCCTATGCGTCCAATGACTTGGCAGAAGAAAGATTTGATTGCAATGCAGGTGACACAGTGATTTCTGAAGCCAACTTCTTTAGCTTGCTTGATGAATTCTTCCGCGGTGACAGAGAGAAAGATGTCTTGGCAGTACTGAAACGCTCCATTGTCTTCATGTTCGGCAACCACGCTCTCTACCTTCGTTTGCCAAGTGCACATAGAGATGCCATTGTGCATCGGATTTGCCTGGAGGACGTGCATCTTGACTTGCTAGGTGAACGGGACAAACCTTTGTATGGAAAGTACAAGGGAGGTACGATGGAGACTGGATCAAACTTTGATGCAGAGATTCTCCAGGAACAGGAAGTCTTGGAGGAAGGATTTCAGAAGATTGCAGGATATGAAAACCTGCAGGATTATGTTGCTTATGTGAACCACAAGCTTCAGGACAAACTTCTTTTCCGCAGTGCCCATGCTGTGCCACCATCATCCTGCCCTTCTACTCCAGAAGCCAATATGGATGTGGTCTGCCCTGTGCCTCCCATTGGCACTCAACCCTCGGGGCGTCGCCGTGGCAATTTCGTCTATCCCGATCGTCGACTACGGGCCAAGACTTCTCCACCACCATCGCAGCACATTGAGGAGTTGGCTGAGGATGCAGAAGCTGCATACCAAGATCCCATGGAAGCGGAGCCTGAGGAACCGAAGAGTATGGATTTAGAGGCTGATGAAGAGGCAGCCCACTACATGGGACTGAATGGCATGTAGACAAGTAGCCTATAATTCGAATGCAGTAGATTCGTACAATAGCAAGATAGACTTGCTAAGTCGTGTCCGAGGGGAGAAGAAAAAAAAAGGAACATAGCCATCGCACGAAAAGGTTATGTTGTCGGTGTTGTGCAATCAAGGTCCGCTGTCTCCATCGAAGCACAAGTAATTGCAAGCGAAGCGAGCATCCATTCATGCATATTGCACTGCATCAT